CTAAAGACACCACTCGCCTGCTGTTTTCTTTATATCACAAGACTCTATGTGTCGTCTCCGTCCTCCTCTCCTCAGATCCTACGTGGGGCTCCTGCTCCCTGGGAGTGTTCATCTGTCTGGCCTGCTCCGGGGTCCACCGCAACTTCCCCGACATCAGCAAGGTCAAGTCCCTGAGCCTGTCCCGCTGGGAGGACCACGAGGTGCAGGTGAGACGACAGCCAGCCACGCTGGCGCCATGTATTAAGAATGCACGTATAACAAACAGGGACGTTAATGAACATCAGTATAAAAATACAAGAAGTAAACAGACTGGATTGGGGCAAAATTGTTGATTTACACCCGCAGTCCCTCGACCGTCACCAAAATTGACAGAATGAACAGGATAGATGGAACAATTTTCACTGACTAAGTAGCATTTTACTGAGGTGGACATGTGCACTCACATCAAACTGTGGTGATAAGCTGCTGATGTGAACCGTGTACATTTACCCTTTACACTGACTTCTGTTGCCTTAAACCAGGGGTGCCCAATCCTGGTCCTCGAGAGCCCCTATCCAGCATGTTCTAGATGTTTCCGTCTTCCAACATTCAAATGATCAGCTCATCATCAAGCTCTGCAGAAGCCTGATAACGATCCTGATCATGTTCGATAGGGGCTCTCGAGGACCAGGATTGGGCACCCCTGCCTTAAACACTTCTTCTTTTACTTATTTTCATTCAGGTTGTTGTTGTTGTTTTCATCCATGGCTGGCTAATCATGTCCCCTCATGGGACAGTAGTCACCAGATGATTTCCTTGAATGTCAACAAAACTTGAGACATGTTGTCCCAGTTTGAAAACATGTGAATACACCATTATGGTGCATTTAATTAGAAAGACTTAATGGAGATACTGTGCTGTTTGAGGCATGAATAAATATGTCCATCACATTTTTGTAATCCATCTATCCAGACACATAACATCAATGACAAGTTATTTTCCTAGGGCTAAAAAAAAGGAATAGTTGGACATTTTGGGCACTGTGCTTAGTTGCGTTCTTACCAAATGTTACGATCCAGCCTCTAGGGTCAGCTGGATGTAACAACAACCAGGTGGAAATGGTTCAGGTAACACAATTTATTGCTCAGAAAGTGAACATAACAGAACTGTGACAATACAAAAGAAGATGGTGGATGTTGCTACAAATCAAAAGAACCAAACGAAGGCTAACAGAAAGCTAGCAAACAAAACTAATCTCCTTAGAATAACTGTGAATCTAATAGCAACATTCACACATAACAAAAGAAACTAAAACAAACTCGTGCCTCAAAACACACAGTACAAAAAACACAAGACACGAGTAACTTCTTCACAAAGTTGGGCAGCTGCTAGCAGGAGTCAGTCTCCACTAAGACGCTCACAAAACTCCCACATCAAGTTAACAGCTGCCAACAGAAGTAACATTACAACAAACACATAAGACACAAACTCAGAGGCACCAGGACTGACTGTTCACACTAAAACCCAACCAGCCTGAAAGGTTGCTGGTTGGTTTTATAGCCAGGTGTGGTGATTGCTGGGGTGGAGGAGGAGTGGTGGTCCAATCAGATGTGACTGGAGGCGGGAAGAACAGGACTGAGAGTAGGTCAGGAGCTCCGGGGCAATCATCTCTGATGTTTGGCAGGTGTGGTTCTGGAGCTTCAGCTGGGCCCTCACAGGCCATCTTCTTCCCACACAGTGATCTCAAGTCCACATGACCAAAACTTCACCAACACCATGGGCCATAACACCAAGATTTACATGAGAAGATTGACACCATCTGTGTGAAGCTAAAGCCAGCAGCTGGTTAGTTGAGCTTCACAGAAATAGTAGCTACAACTTATACTTCTTCTTTTTTTTTTTTAATCCATGAAACCAAAAAGCAGAGACTCTGGGAAGTTTATGGCACCAGTTAGGAAACAGTCTGACATATGACAAGTCTTGAAAAGATGCAGTATAGTTTTACACCTTTTTAATAGGGTGCAAAGTATTTATTTGAGAGCTTTAACTTCATTTAATTTCTTCTACTTTTGGACAGAACCAGGTCTTTGTCCGTTTCCACCCCTAGCTGAGCTGACCTTACCGGCTGCTCACTGTAGCCTTCTATTTGATGGACAGATATGAAGGTGGTATCAATCTGACTCTCACCAAAAAAAAAAGAACTGAAAATGTCAGAGGTTTTTTCTGACTTCTTTATACCCTTGGTTATACAGTTTCCTTCATTTGAGTGGTCATGACATTGTCAGCATGTAACACATTTAATGACCACTCTGATCCTACTGCAGTAGCAGAAGGTGCAGAAAATGACTCTGCTTTGTACAGCTACATGTGTCTGATATGAAACATTTAAAAAAAAACAATTACCTGGTTAGAAGAGCTTAAAATCACATCCACACCTCTATTGTCATTGACTAATACAGGATGTTTTTAATTTAAAAAGCTTAACTACTACAAATACAGTCGTCCTCAAATGTATTCATACCCTCCCATTAAAGAAAGAAAACAACAGCTGTCACTGAAATACGTTGAAATTGACAAAAGTAATAATAAATAAAAGAATAATGAAAATCATGGCATTGGTTTTGAATTGTGGTTCAACAGAAATATATTTTAAAGAAATAAATAAATAAAAAGCATGATGGAACCCATAAACTAATATTTAGTTGAAGAACCCTTTGAGCCAATCACAGCCATCAGGTGTTTTCTGTAACTCTCAGTCAGACTTCTGCACCTGTTGACAGGTATTCTGGACCACTGCTCATCTGCAAAGTGCTCTCATTTGTCCGAGACCGTTTTTTTTAAATTAATTTTTTTACATTATTCTGTTCACCCACAATTCAAAAGCAAGGTCTTATTTCACTAAATTATAATTTAGCAAATTTTTATTTATTATTACTTTTTTCAGTTTCTAGTTATTTGCGTGACTTTTGCCTTTTCTTAAATGGAAGGGTAGGAATACATTTGACGATGACTGTAGATAGTGTTTCTGCAATACAGGCTTCAGCATCACACTGCCGTAAGATGCCCTAAAATACGAAGCATTCTGAGAAATAGAAAAGCAACCAACTAAAAATTTAAAGTGTTTATTATTATTTATTTGAAATGTGAAGACATCACATTCTTGGTAAGTACATTCGAGCCCTGTGCTGGATACACAGTAATCAGATGATAAATGAACTTGGTTCTCGGTACATGTTTATTTTAAGATGCTTCTTGCATTTGTCATCTTGGCTCTGTGGGTCGATAGTTTACTCTAACGTCAATCGGGAAACTTGTGAAAGAACTTCGTCCTGCAGACTGGAAACTATCTACTGCCAAAGATGTCATCAATCGTTGGATAATCAGTTGATTTCACATGTGTGTGTGTTTTATTAGTTCATGGCGGAGAATGGCAACGAGCTGATGAGGAGTAAATATGAGGCGGCCGTTCCCGTCTACTACTACAAACCCACCCACAAGGACTGCCAGTGAGTAACCATAGCAACAAACGCACTCTATAATCATATCTTGGAAAACGTACAGTTCTGTTTTGAATTCTTCTGTGAATATTTGCATGTACCGTATATGTTTGTGTGTTTCGGGCTGTGTTTTGTGCACCAGTGTGTATCGAGGCATGTGGTTTCCTGTTTTTGTTGGAACACATGCATGCGGGTGTTGGCAATGCAACTTGAATCTTAAAAGGAGTCCTTGTTTATCTTTAGGTTTTATTCCAGTTGTGTCATCAGCCCATTTTTGTTAAGAAAAGAGCTCCGTCTTGAAGTGGTTAGCAGCCCCAACGCTAGTTAGCAAGTCAGAATGATATGTGTAGGAAGGAGACGGCAGTATCTGACACAGCACATTTTTGAACAACAGAAATTGACCACGAGTGCTTTTAGTTTGAGGCTAACAACACACACAAGGCCATAAAAAAAGAAAGTATGAATTAAGTGCATAAGAGAAGACACAACCACAACAACAGAACTGAAGCAAAGCATATTTGCAGTGATACAATTGAAAATCAGCAACATCAATATAAAGAAGATATGAAAAGATAGAAGAAACTAAATAAAAGCAGCAACCAATCAGTGGAAGTAAGACTTGACGAGGGGAAGATGAGGCAGAAATAAAAGCAAGAGAAAAAAGGTAAGCCTTTTTACATTGGTATGATGGGAAAAGCACTCATATCGTCAAAACCCTTCTTTCTTTGCCCTCATTGGTTATTCAGCCATTTAGATTTTTTTGTAGTTCGTGCAAGTAGAAATGTAAGGGCGGCTGTGGCTCAGGTGGAAGAGCGGATTGTCCTCCAGTCGCAATGTTGGTGGTTTGATCCCCTGCAGCCCACAGTTGAAGTGTCCTTGGGCAAGACACTGAACCCAAAGTTGCTCCCAATGGCAGGCAGCACCTTACATGGCAGCTCTGTCACCATTGGTGTATGAATGTGTGTGTGAATGGGTGAAACACATTGTAAAGCGCTTTGGATAAAAGCGCTATATAAGTGCAGACCATTTACCAAATATAAGATTTTGAAATACAAAATGATTATAAGATTTCAAAGAGTTCCTACCAGTCAATCATTTCACATACTTCTTAACACTATTCACCTCCAAACGTCATGTTTTGTTTCAAGATGTGTTTGATGTAACACCTCCAGGGCTGCAAGACTGAAAGCTTTGTCCTGCCACACTCTGATCACGCCTTTACCTTTTAAATGTTTTCACGTGAAATACTGTGACAGCACTGCACAGCAGCGCTTCTTGGATGTGTTTGTTTTTGGGTGTTTTCTGCCTCGCTCAAGCTTGGTCAAGTTTTAGAGGGAGTGGTTGTGAAAGCGTTGCCTCTTCAAGTCATTACACATGTTGTTATAAGTGGGAGTCAAGTCTGGGCTTTGACTCTGCCTTTGCATTGTGGTTCTGAGGTGAGTCCAGTACGGCGGCACTAGAACAGCAGAACGCTGCCTGCTTTGCTTATGGCTAAAAGTCATAGACTGTATAAAAGATGGACGTAGCTGCCGTGACGTCACCCGTTGGTTTCTGCATTGAGAAAATGAAGCCAGGGTTTTGCTACTTCCTGGTTGACATCTTGGGTTTTTTGAGCCAGTGACGCAAAAATCGTCGGAGGGGGGCGGAGCCATAGGAGCAGCGATTGGTCAGACGGATCTCTGCCCGCCCATATTTACCGCCTTCTGCTCGCTTCCTCTGTATGGTCGCTGCCGACTGTCAATCAAGCCAGCCACGCCCCTTGCCCCGCAAAATGTTGATGATTTTTTAAAAATTCAGTATTGATTTATTTTTCAGATTGGCCACCTGATCTCTGAATTTGACTATGAAAACTAATTTTAAAAAAATCCTGAGCTGGAGGAATGCAGTATTTTATGATCTGTGATCACTTCTTTTCCAATTCCAGTCTATGGGAGCCAGGGCTTCTTGGAGCCAGCAGCTAGTGGACATAGTGATATTGCAGGTTTTTGACACTTGGCTTCATTTTTCAGGGCCGGTTGCTTCGTTCATCTTTTGTACAGTCTATGCTAAAAGTCAATCCCAACATTCAAGTGTTGATTAGAGTGTGTGTTTAGTCTTTTTCAGTTTAATATCTCAGTTGTCAAATTATGCACTGGCTTTCTTTTTTATTAAAAATGTAAATAAGATTTCAATGAAGTGTTAGAATCTTACAACCCTTCGTCTTCAGGCAGTTTGTAAAAGTTGATTTATTGTCCATTAATATTACAGCTTTTATTATGTTATAATTTTAAGATTGTAGTCTAAATAATTTTGAAACTGAACAAACACACGTAGCGTCGAGCACATTAGTAAGAAAGTGCACCGTCACACAGGTGCTGTTAGTGCAGATTTTCCTCGTTGAATAATGAGTCAAGGGGCGCAGAGAGTCTTAGCAGCAGTCATCTCATCATCTTAATGAACGTTAATAAAGGAAGGTAGAGCTTGTGTGAATGCATTTAATTTGTTTTGGTGGGTGTTTTGTTGTTGTTTCAGTTCAGCACAGCATTAATATGATTAATAAAGCAAATATACACCAAGACAGGGAGAAAAATGACAACAGGTTGATTGTTTCTGTGTGTAAGTGTGTGTGTGTGTGTGTGTGTGTTAGCACATAATTATTTGTATTCACCCTCAGTTTTCCTAAACGTTCGTGTCTCCTCTCTGCAGCAGATGATTATTCTTGGTAAATAATGTTTCCTTATTCTCAGCCTGAGCACAGACGCTACCAATTTCTCTTTTAAAGGTGGTTTATTTTCTCCTTCTGGTTTCTAATAACTTCTTTTTTTTCTCTCTTTTGAAATGGTTGTTTTTCCTGGTAATCCCCTTCCCGCTGCTCAGTCTGGTTTGTGTAGCCTCCAGGTTACCTGTTGACAGACGATGAATGCGTCTGGGTGCACGCTACGTTGTCGGGTCACTCCCAGAAAAGAATGTGTGGAATTATATGAATGTGAAGCAGGAGTTTTTTTTGCAAAAGAGAAAACCTTCTCAGGTAACATAACATGGAACATATACAGTAAGTAGCCACAGCTGCAGCATCTTTAACTGAAACTATCATGTATGTGTGTTGAATGGAAGGAACAGCTCGTCACTGTCGGCTATCCGTAGAAATTTACCTGAGGAGAAATTGAAACTCCTTCTCTCGCTCTCTCACACACATATGCCAACAATCAGCCACCACATTAAAACCACTGACAGATACAGTGAATACCATTTATTATCCCATTACAATGGCACCTGTTGCAGGGTGAGAGAGATTAGGCAGCGAGTGAGGAGTCAGCGCTTAACGTTGATGTGTTGGAAGCAGGAAAAATGGGCAGCGTAAGGATCAGAATGATGATGACATCTTCCAAATTGGCTGCAGGATGGGGTTGGACATCTTTAAAATGGCAGCTCTTGTGTAGTGTTAACCTACTAACCAGTGATGGGGTCATGAGCACTCAAGTTTCACTGATGTATGTGGGGAGGAAAGGGTAGCCCATATCGATTGATCCCACTGAAAAGCTACTGTAGAAAGACAGTAATACTTCCTGTAATAGGAATCTGTCAGAACACACAGAGCATCA